TATAAATAATTTCGTATAAACATGAAAAAAATCACCACTTTTCATTACGGTAAAGTGACTTATGCCACTTTCAAAATAAACGGCTCATATAAATTCATTTTACTACGTCGAAAGAAAATATTATCTTGCCTCTATCGTAATTCGTCTGCATCATTCAAAAAGTTGAGACATTTGTATTCCGGGAATCGTATCGAATCGCAGGTAACATTATATTTTGAAAGAAATCAATTAAGCACAAGATTAACGATGTATCGAAGATCGTTATTTAATCGTTTTCGGCGCGATGAACTCCGACGCGGTACAAAATATATAATGCAACGAGACTGTTTTTATGCGTCTAGTTAGTATGACCTAGTATGACCTACTATGACCTAGTATGACCTACTATGACCTAGTATGACCTACTATGACCTAGTATGACCTACTATGACCTAGTATGACCTAATATGACCTAGTATAATCTGACTACAAGTGACGTGTGTAGTACGGCATACCAACACAAGAAGTGAGATTAATCGAGACATTTCAGCGGGAATAATCACAAATCAACGCGTACGGTAACAAAAATTTAGAACACCAGGCAACAAAATATTTACACGAGAAGTATGATTTCTTTTCTCTTTCGTGACAAAATCTCCCAAGATAAATAAAGGATGACGAATCTCGTCGCGCCGCACATTTTATTCATTGCTTTCTCATTTGTACCTTAGAAGAACGAACGAGAATTTAGAATGAGAAGGATAAATTCGGCGTCCTACTGTAAAAAAAGAAAGAAAGACGTTACGAAAACGACTATCGTTTCGAGGAGCAGACGAAATTATCATTCGTTGCTTGGGATCGTCTCGCAGTAGCGGCCGTCGCGGTTTCGCTCCCAGACGAAAGAATGTAGCCACTTGTTCGAACCACTTAAACAGAAGGGACCGTTCCTTTTCTTTTTTCCCTTTTTTTTTTGTTTTATACAAACTGTAGTGCGGACCTCCGGGGCTCTCTGTTTATATTCAGCCATGATTTAAAGCAGGAAATATTTACCCAAGCCATTCCGTGTCGAATCAGCCACTGGTATTTCGCCGATCACAATACAAACAATTTCTGTTGGATAAACGTCCCGGCGGGAAGCAAACACGGCTCGATTCTTGGGAAATATTAGTCTGTATACATGATAAACCGTCCGATGAGACGCGTTGAAGTGCAAATCAAATAGTGAACTCGGTACAATTACTTACCTTCCTTTCGTAAACCATTTATTCGCGTCACGGAACGAAGGTGTCCGTGAGATCGACCGGAAACTCAATAGAAAAACAGTGAATATTCGGGGATCGTGAGGACTGGGTTGCGAAGAAGAAACGCAAGGAACTTAAATAATAATAAAGTATATTAAAAATCGTATACAATTTTGATTTCAGTATATATATAACGATATGGTCGTCGGTCGTCGGTTAACTACTATGGCAACGTAAAAATTGTACAAAAGACGATCTCGAGGATCCGCGTGCTTACAGGATGGGAAAAGAGACATGAAAGAAAGAAAAAAAGAGAGAAAGAGAGAGAGAGAGGGAAAGAGAGCGAGGCTGAGAAAGAGACATCGAGAAAGAGACACTGAGGAGGAGAGACCGAGGAGGAGAGACTGCGAAAGAGAAACGGAGAAAGAGAAGAGGAACACAGAGAACATAAAAGTCCAAACGAGGAAAACGTGCGAAAGAAAAACGAGAAAGGTGAGAGGAGACACGTTCGCTCGGAAGCGTCCGCGCGACAACTACATTCCGTGGGACCGAAATCAACGGAGGAAACAGAAAAACGTCTCGAAAAGAACCGGTCGACATGGATGAAATATCCCGGAACACACTCGTTACACACAGTATTTTCAATTTTATTGACAATCATCGTGACAAAAAGTGGCTTACAAATACTCGTTATAAACTCCTCCCTCTGGTCTCTCTAACGTCGCGTTCGCTCCTCGATTGTTCCGAGGTTACTCGAACCGGGGGCCGCCGGTGATGGCGTCCTCGCCGCCGCCGCCTCCGCCGCCGCCATTTCCTCACAACCCCTCCTGTTTTTATCAACCGTTCTTCTGCCGTTGACCATCAATCGTCGGCCCAACGAACGCGACATTGTCCGTTCTCGCTCGCGCAACGGCCCGGCGTGATATGTGACGCTAAAAAGGTTCTTTACTTTCTCACTACTTTACAATATTACACGTGTACGTTTTCGTTTGGCAGGGATCCCCGTACCCGGGACGCGATACGGCTCGCGTTTCATTCCTTTCCTTTTCCTTCATTCCCTTCCCTTCCCTCTCCGTCCTCCTCTCGCCATTATTTTTTCCGTTTCTCCTTTTTACGTTTCGCTCGCGGCAGTTATCGTTTCTCAGTCCTTTCGTCGTTTCGCTCCTCGCCCGTGTGCCCGTCCTCACCTGCTCTTCCCTGCCTCCCCCCCCCCTCCCCCCGATCGCAAACGAAACGTCTCTCCCGCGGGACCATCGCGTGACCCGCCGAAATTTCCGACGTCGACCGGGAAACACGAGCAAAACGAGACCGAGGACCCTCGTTTCTCGCTCGACGTCGAACCTCGGCCCCGGTCCCGATATCCCCGCCGAACGGACGTCCCCCGACGATCCGGGGATCCAGATCCGAGGACGTTCCACGGGCGTACGTTCTCCGGTTCGCGCGAATCGCTCGAGAAATCGTGAGAGATATCGACATCGGCAGCGAAACGAGCGCGTCCTCGCCGCGGTCGCGAGGCGTCGCGCGCCGCTCCGCCACGGTTTCATATGTATATATATAAATTTCTGTAATATTTATACGCATACTTAAATACCTGTACCTACAACGAGGCGCGGTCGAAATCGTGCGCAACACAGACATACATTTGCGGTACTTCGTCGGTCCGTTCGGACCAGTGCGATAGTTCCCCTTTGGGGAACGTCGCGACTGTATCGCGAGCGACGAAATTGTAATTGGACACCGGAATTATGTCACCACTGGTTAATTACGGCTTTCGGATCCGATCTTGGTGTATTTATAAACTAGGTAGACCAATTAAATCGTGTTATTTCCGTATAAGGCAACACGTACTGCTATAGTAAATTCTCCCTAATTTTTCTTCAGCTTATAAACGAAAACGGGCAATTTGGGAAGTGGAGACACGATTATTCGAAGCTCGCGGCTCATTTTTATAGTATAAAATAATCGTATTTCCTCTTCCCAGGTTGTCCATTTTTGTGTGCAAGCTGAAGGTAAATTAGAGAGAATTTACTGCGATTGCTTCTGAGGTTTTCTCTCTATAACCTGAACACGTAATTACCTCTTTTTAACCCATTATCCGCCAATGTCCTATTTTTGGGGCACTTTTTCAAATTTCTTTTCTTTTAACAACTGCAATTTCTAAATAAAATACAGGCATAAAATAGTGAGAACATATCACGTGCTCCGTGACAGTATTAGGGTCGATACACATCTACGTGCTAGGCTCGGATCGTGCTAGCAGCGTGATCGATTGACAGTGTTCACATTAGATGTGCGAGCATGATTCAGGCAGGACCGAGATTCGGAGTTCAACTGTATATTTCTCGGATTTTCCAATGCAACTGTGAGCCTTTCCCGATTAAAATAAGACCAAACACGATATCATTTTTGTAAGATTATAATGATTTTTATGAAAAATATAAACATACTTTTCGTATTAATATTAAAAATTTTAGGGAACCAATAAAACGTCATTCTACACAAAATCTTTTTTTTTGTAGTTTAAACACCCAAAGTTATGCCTAGGTTATGGCAAAGTTATGTCAGGATTATGTCAGAGTTATGTGAGAGTTATGTGAGAGTTATGTCAAGTTTACGTCTGATTTATAAATTTGCAACAAAACAACAAGCATCGTTTAATTGTATGAAATAAAAGTTAAATAAATACTTATTATACTCGTGTAGCTGTATCATACTTGGTAGATTATGCTTACGCCTTGAAATTAATGATAGAGCATGTGTAAAACATTATTCTTTAAAATGGGTCGTCTTGAACAATATAATTATACTTTTTGAAAAATATGGTAACACTACGAATTGAAAGCCGAAAGGAATCAGGGAATTGCCTTTCTTCAGAATTTAACATTTTATTGAATTATGACCCACACATAGTCATCAAAAGTCGAGCAACCATCTAGCCCTCATTGATTCCTTTTTTGTTTGCGTGTCTTGTGACGTTGAAATGCTTTCTCGGGTTTATTGCGTGCAACGTTAGAATGAAAGATTGCGCACTCTGTCCATATCGTATCAGTTCCGTAGTTCCGTCTCGTTTTGTTTTGTTTACGTTGACGTCACTTGCCTGGTGACGGACGGCCTGGCACGCGTAGTGTGAACACTCCAATGTAAAAATCAAATGTAAGAATGATTCGAACTTGGTCAGACTTGGAGCACGGCCCGAGCCTGGCACGTAGACGTGATTCGACCCTTAAGAATTCCCGCTATTTTGTTTGAAATCATTGTAAATTTCAGGTTGAAACTAATTTAACCCAAATGTCATTTTCTCTCGTATTTTTGAATTGCGACGGGTAATGGGTTAAATTTTAAGTCGGTCATTTTCTAGAATTTTAATAAATTTATAGAATTTATAATTAATAATTCTATTTATAATTATATAATTAATAATTCTATTTATAATTATATAATATAATAATATTTATAATTATATAATATAATATAATAATATTTATAATTATATAATATAATATAATAATATTTATAATTATATAATATAATAAATTTATAATTAATAATTCTATAAATTTATTAAAATTCTAGAAAATGACCGACGAATCTCAGTGTCTACCGACGTTTAATCCGGGCGAGCTTGGCGGCAGTTTCCTTCGCTAATATCGCACAGCAGTTTCCTACAACTAAGATTGCAGCAGTAAGATGTTGTTCGGCCATGGCAACCGATCTTCGCAACACTTCGCGCAGCTCGACGATTTCTTTTTCGGTATTTCTGTGGAATAAATATACTTCGGAGACATTTCGAACGTACGTATATTTGATTGCTTCTTTTACATCTTCAAAGTCTTCTTCATCGGGTGACATTTATTCTAACGTGTGGCGTGCGATTTCGGCTGCGACTCGCTGTCTATACAATATTCATTTATGTATATACACATATATATTTACGTACCCGACGATTCGATCGTCCGTGCGGCGGTCGACCGTTGCTCGACAGCTACCTTTCCAAGATCGCGCGGACACGGACACGAGGTTCGCTTCTCTCCCTGGCTCGTTTTACACTTTTAGCTATGTTACTCGGGGGAGGGTACACTGAATTCTTTGTCTTCCTACGACGTGCTTGCGTACGGGGCTTAACGTGTATGTATGCGTAGTACGGGTTTCGAGTGTTGTGCGCGTGTGCACGACTCGAGTCGCTCGCCGGGTCAAAGATGAGGAAGATCCTTCGACGGATGATTGAAATGATCGAGAACAGGTCGTCGTTTCTCGGCGGAAACATGACCGAAATGTGTGTGACGCGCGGGGTAGAAAATGAGTTTTGTTTTGATCGATGCTGGGAAATCTTGCTCATCTTTGCCGGAACGATGGTCGTGCGAGGTACAAAAACAGGTTTAGAATCTCTGGCAGTTTCTATACACTTTTGAATGCTACGGTCCGAGACGCGCGTATGTATATATGTATATGTATACGAATACGTGATATACATAAAAGACGGTCAAGGGGCGATTTGTTCGGCGGTAAAAAATTGTTCGACGCGCGAGGTCACGTCGTTGCTAACGTACGCGTGTATAACGTATATATATATGTATAATATATCACGCTCCTTCTGGACGCGTACACCTTGCGCGCAAGATACGTGCCGCTGGAGAACAATACGGTTTCCTTCGCTCGTTGTGGCTCTCGGCCGTGGACTAATCGATCGGAAAATTTGCTGCGTTGCATCTGAGATCGATCATCCTCCAAATCTGTTTGAAAACGTGCGAGAAAAGGCAACGTCGTTCCACGAGAATCGACAAAAATTCAGAAATGTAAAAGAAAAAAGGTCAAAATAAAAATTACAGAATCCATTAAGGATCCCTGATCCGAACAAAATTAATTCCTCGCTTTTGTTCGCTGTTCCTAGAGGATTTCTCGGGCGAAAATCTCTCGAAGCTAGCGAAAATAAAAAGACTCGTTGTCGCCACGAGATCGAACTGGAACCGCGCGGACTTTATGCGTTCGCGAGAAAAATGCGTCAGGGAAACGGAAGAATCGAGTTCCTGTTATAGTTCCGGGAAATAAGACTCTGGTTTGCCCTGTTCGTCTAACCAGGCGTTGGTAAAGTAGGGTCTCGCGGACTCGAATGGATCTTACATCGACTATAACTTTTTAACAACACGTGGCAGTGATACGATCCTCCTTTGTAGGCAGTGTAGGTCTTAGACAATACGTAATCTAACATTGATTAAAACATACGGACTTCTATGATACACTAAATTATTTTGGTGGTCCGCGAGACTCCGGCCACTCTGCCATCGGGTTAAATACGTTTCCTCGAAGGTCCGCGCGGTCGAGTTACAATCGCACGTTTTGGCGCGAAAAAAAAAGTGAACGAAAAATCGGATTGGCGACGATAAAAGTGTGCCGTGTTCTTCTCCAGAGACTCGAATCCATGGCGCGAGGTACACGAGCAATCGGTTCACGCGTTCCTCCGTCCGTGGCAAGACTAGCGGCTCCTTCGAAGCCTCCTCCGGAGGTGCGCCGATCGCGGATCGACGTTCTCTGGCTCGCGATCGGTCGGGATCTATGCTTTTTGTACACGGCTACGCAGACAGGGTCCTCCCTCGAGAGTCGGCCGGCTTTCTTCGAAAGCTTCGAGACGAGGCTCCACGGATTGCGGTCGAGGAAGCGAGAGGAACGCGCGCCCACCGCGACCGTGACGTGCTGTACACCTCGGTGGATACATATTCTAGCCGATCCTCGGATCGAGACTTCTTTTTGATGATCGTTCCTCTCTAATGATATATTTACAGCGGTTCACCTAACACCTAAGAGTGATATTTACAGTTTACGTTTACTCCATCGCTTGCTCATCGACATCTGCGCTATACAGTTGCTCGCGTTACACGTCGCGGATCGACGTCGGCGGCCCGGCACAAGGGTCCGAGCACCGCGCCCGACGGGGGGGCGCGATCGATCACGGGGAATGAGAAAACGCTGGTTTTGTCATCGACTAGCGGTTACGGAGAATCCTAGGAAAAGTAGACAGCAAAGAGAGTCCTGCTCGAGAGGTGCCGAGCCGCGGTCGTCGCGGCACGAGGTCTAAAAGAAAGTCGTGTTTTACACCTATGCTCGGTTATGGCTAAGTCAGATAAATAGACGAGACGATACCAGTTAGACGGACATGCGGACTGTACGAGCTCCGCTACGATATAATAAGTAAGAAAAGTGTAGAGATAGATACGAGTAAGAGAACTCACACCGTCCATTCGCGCACCCATTCGCTCGTCGCCGCGTGGCGATCGGCGACGCGGTAGATCGCGTCTCACCGCGGCGCAGCCTCGAGCGTCCATCATCTCCGAGCGGTTCTATATCGTGAAACGTGGTCGCGCGCGGCCGAGTGGCACCGTCCTCGCGTCTCCGATATCACTGTGTCGCCCCCAGCACGATCGCAGAGGGAATCGATCACCGGTCGTGGTCAGTCGATCGGCAAACACACGCGCGCACGCACGCGCGCACACACAGAGAGCACTCCGAGTCGCGGATCCTTTTTCCCACGATGACACCGTTGCGTTCGAGGTAAAAGAGAAAAGGATGCTCAGCGCTCGAGGTCTACGGGCTGACGGGCTGGGTCGGGTCGGCTGGTCGAGAGGCGCCGCGGCGGGTCTTGTTGCCCGAAGCGTCGGGCAGGTCGCGGGTACGTCGGAGGTACTGGAGGCTGCGGGCGCCGCGGATCCTCGTCGTCCGCGGGTCCTGGGTCCGAGGATGTTCGCTTCAGACCTCGGTCGCCTGCGTGTAGGAGGGCGCGAGCCCGTGGGCCGGCGTGAGCGGGCCCGTGGTCGACGCCAGCGACCTCCTCGAGTATATGGTGGCCGCGGAGTGCGGCGTATGGGGCGCCGTGTGGGGCGCCGTGTGCGGCGTGTGCCTGCGCGAGGCCGAGGCGAAGGGCTAAATGGGCCCGTAGTTGCTAAGGGCGGAAGGCCTCTCCTGTTGCTGCACCGACTGTTGCTGTTGCTGTTGCTGCTGGTCGCAGCCCGCGGTGTTCATGTCGCCCCCCGCCGACTGGTGACGTCATACGTGCGACAAAGGCGGTTGCTTGAGAACGTGATGGTGGAGATGGTGTTGGGACGCGCTGGCCACGCTGCCGGGCGGCAAGAGCGCGCTCCCGGGGCCCGGCGCCGGCGGATACGGAACGCCGACACGTCCGACGACGCCCTTGATGCTGGTGCTGCCGATGCCGCCGCTGACGCCGGTCACGCCGGCTACCATACCGGCGCCACCGCCTCCGTGACCGCCGGCGCCGCTCCCGCCGAACAAACGCCTCCAGAGACGTTTCCACGAGTCGACGGTTTTGCCGCTCCAGATCCACACGCCGGACGTGATGCCTACCGCGAGCGCCATGAAGTACTTCAGCATCAGGACGGAGTAGAGCGGCCGCGCCCTCGCCCGACACGGGCAGGCCAGCGAAGCGAGCCACTCGTCCCGGAGCGCCGTCTCGTAGATGTGACAGGCGAGCACCACTCCGGCCGGCAGGGTGTACAGAACGCTGAACACGCCGATGCGGATCATCAGCTTCTCGAGCTTGTCCGCCTTCGCTCCCGGCTGCCGCTTGATCACCGACCGGATCCGGAAAAGGCTGACGAACCCGGTCAACAGAAAGCTCGTTCCCAGCAAGAGGTACACGAACAGTGGGACCAGGATGAACGACTTGACGCCTTCCGGTGCTACCGTGCAGACCCCGGCGACCGGGTCCCCTGCCACCCCACCGTGCAAGTAGGCCAACACCGTTTGAAACGAAGGCGCCAGCCATGCCGCCAGATGGAAGTACTGGGAGTACGAGGCGATCGCCTCGTTGCCCCACTTCAGGCCCGCCGCGAGGAACCACGTGAACGCCAGGATCACCCACCAGACCGAGGACGCCATGCTGAAGAAGTAGATCATCAGGAAGACGGTGGCGCAGGCCCCGGGGCCACGGGCGCTCGACTTCAACGCCGGACCGTCGCAGGCGATCACCTCGTAGCCGAACATGCTTCTCGACAGGTAGCCGATCGACACGACGAAGTAGCAGGCCGACAGGAAGACTATCGGCCTCTCAGGATATTTGAAGCGATGGGTGTCGATCAGGAACGTGGTGACGGTCACGAGCGTGCTTGCGGCGCACAGGCCGCTCCACAGAGCCAGCCAGACGGCCGCGAACCCGCGCTCTTCGTGGGTGAGAAACGCGCCGTGGCACGGCAGGGCGCAGTTCCGTACTCCGGCAATGTCCTGGTTGACGTTCTGGTTGATGTTCCGAGCGATGCTTATCGGCGGCGCCGGCATGGCTCCACTTGCGGCCATGCCGGCCAGCCCAGCCACGCTGCCGATGCTGCCGGTGTTGCTGCCGCTTATCGGACCCGAAAGCACCGTGCCCCCCGCCCCCAGGGGTACGAGGGGTGCTCTGCACCGGCACGTGCAGTCCCTCGCCCTGTCCCCCTGGGGATGCTGGCAGTTTTTTTGATTCTTGCCGGGCTTACACCGTTGCGGTTGTGGCGTCTTAGGCGGCCTCGTGGGTCGAGGCGGCGCCGCTGCTGGGACCGGGGCGCTGCTGGCTGCGCCACCGTTGCCGGACCCTGGACCCGCGCTGCTGGTGCGATTGTCCTGCTCCATGCACAGATTGTCCGGGTCCCCGTGGGTCGGCAGTCTCTCGCACGCCATCCGCTCCGGCCAGGAGAACCCGTACTGCTGCATCAATGGCGCGCAGCCCGCTCGGGCCCGTTCGCAGACGGTGCGGCACGCCGGCAACGGTTTCGCGTACTCCGGCAGACAGATCGGTGTGTACATCGAGCACAGGAAGAACTTCAGATCCGGCGAGCACTTGATCTCCACCAGCGGCCAGAACTGGTGCACCTCCATGCCGGCCTCCTCCTGCGTGTCGTGGTTCAGCTCGTTCGGCATCGCGGTCAGGTTGTACCCGATGCCCCGGCACATCGGGATCGTGATCTCCTCGCATCTGCCGTTCCCATTAGTCGCCCCACCGCTAAGAGACGAATGTCCGCTGGTGCCGCTGCTGCCACCGGCCACAACGCTGCTGCCAGGCCCAACCATGCTCCCGGAACCAGAGCCACTTCCAGGCACGACGCCCACCATCAACGAGGACGAGGCGGAGGAAGAGGACGACGACGAGCCGCCGCCCGATACCGAGCCCACGCTACTCACTGGATTGATCGCCGATTCTAATCGGGCGTTCGGCAACGATGCGAGCAACAGCACGGGTAACATAGACGCCATGGTCCGGCTCGGAAGCAGCTTCGTCCGTCGAGCGGGTACACCCATCGTGAATGACGATTGACTTACGCTTCCGTGGCTCGCATCACTCCGATCTGAAACACAAGCGCCACCGTTCCGGTTAGTACACCTTCTCGATTGCGTAATCGTAACGCTGGAATTCACCGACTACATATCTGTACGCGCTTTGTCACGAGCACCCACTCGAGTCATTTTCTTTCCGTTGAAATCGTTTTTCTCGCGAAGTTGTATTTGCCTAAAGTTTACATACATCATATGACTTATTTTAGTTATCAAATATTGTTACTTCGTCGATATAAGCACATTAATATAAGAAGAAAGAGAAAATTAAATGGGGGAGAACTGGATCGAAGATGATACGATTTGAAAACGAGCAGGTGGAATTATAAACAGTGGAAAGATTCTGATGCATCATTCTCAAATCATAAAGATTCACAATTTAGTAATCGTATCACTGGAATTCAGAGACCCTCTCAATGACAGTAATACGAAATTGTCCACTCAAAATGTCTTATACACTTCCTCGCTTCAAGCACCCAATTACCCGCAGCCTGCTCTACAATGTGGCCGCGGTATCCTGTAATTTTGAAGTACCAGATGCAAGAGAAAGTCATTAAACAGGTTTTCAATCTTCTCCGATAGAAGAGAACGAAGATGTATTTTTATGGCGTTAAGAGATTCAACAGACGATGTTGCATACCGTGATTCTTCGTGGTGATTTAGAAGCGTTCACGCCCACCTCAACCTTGTAGTCGAGACTGGTTTGGTTGGTGGACGCGTTTATCAACCCTGTCCCCCGGTAGTTACTTATTTTACTGGATCGCATTGCGTGTATCAATAATGCCGTAATTACATGATGTGCGAGGAAAGTTGTTGGATTTTTCAACTGTTGTAAGCGACTTCGCGAATCTGGCTGGAGGATCTTATCAGGGAACAGGTTGAACCCTCGTCCGTTCCTCATTTTCCTGACTTGTTGCTAAGAGTCAAGTTCAGGCGAATGAAAATCAAAATGCTTAACTACTAAATTTCTCTATTTCTTCTATTCTTCTATATTTTCTCAGATCTATCCTTACTTCCACTATTGCTATTATTTTTTGTATTATATTTTATTATATTTTTTATTAACGTTCTTCTTATTTCTCACTCACTTATTTTTTTTGTTTCTTCTATATTCTTCTAACTCCTTTTAAATTATACTCGTGTGAATGCTTTTATGTCACCTGTGTTACAAAGGGTCCCTTATATGTCCCAAATATTATTATTATTATTATTATTATTATTATTATCTTACTTCTTGCATGCTAATATTACAAATTATTCGACGATTGTCAACTATCGCCAATTAGATAAATATGCTGCAACAAATTCGTGAACAAGTGCACAGCATTCGAACAATTCTGTAATTGGTGATAGTCGACGATCATCGCGCGCAAATGGAACGATCATTAGGCGAATGATTGGTAACATTAGCGTACAAGTGGTAAGAACTTCTGTATAATAGTTACAATTTCAATTATGTCCATACAGTCCTGTATTTAATGCTCCGACTAGTCCAACAATTTAACAGTTACATTCACAACCCTTGCTTTCAAAGAAAAGTTTCAGGACACTCTCAGCAGATCGAAGGGGTTGCAACCGACAGGCAGAACGCGCGGTTCAGACGCCGAAAATACGTGAACCGGAAGCGCAGGATGAAAAATGGCGTCTGGTCCTGGGGTCGGGCCGGCCGAATCCTTCCGGCCCCGAATTAGTAGGTGTCCGTCCTCCTGATCCTTCCCTTGCGCGTGTCAATCTCGGTTCCGCAGCCACACACGTAGAGAGAGACGGGCCTCCGTTCAGCGGCGAGCCGAGATGCATCGCCGTCGGCCGTCTTATAAATAGCCGCGAAGCGTGCGTCGGGGTGCTAGCAGTTAACAAACGGTAAAACTAACACCGCCTCCTACAATAACATTTCGCTCCGGTCACGTGTTTTCCGCGGCTCGACTATTATAAGATCCATGACTGTCGTCCCGAGCCTTCAACCCTCCGCCGCCCCCGCGGCCCGTTCCCTTTTTCGCCGTCGCCCGTCGCGTCGCGCACGCCTCCGGCGAACCCTTTCGCCCGTTTCTCTCCGGCTCCCCGCGGTACCTCGAAGTATGCCAATCGTGTCCCTCTCTCCTCTCTCTTCCTCTTTTTCTCCTCGGAGATCTAGCCGGCGAGATCTAGGCCCCACCGACGCTGATTTATGCGCCGGCCACGTAAACCCGGCCGAGCGCCCTTGTTCGTTAAGGTCGCAGACGGTCTTTCGGCGCGGCCACTTAACGAATGCGCTGGCCGATCGAGATTCGGTCGGCGGGTGGTTATGCAAATACACCGGCTACGATCTTTGGGACTTATATAATGGCGCAGCTAGGCCCGAAAGCCTCATCCGGCCGCTTAATTAGGACCACCGTACGCGGACACGCTGCGACGCGACGCGACGCGTTCCCTTGGTTACGTGCGGGGAAATGATCGTGTTCAGGAGGGGAGGCGGCTCGTGATGTTCCAGGGTAGATAGCACCTAGGGGAGAGAGTCGCCCGGGCTCGCTCGCCGCTTCTTCGAGGGGGTGAGAACGCGTGTATGCTCCGTTTCGTCGCATCTACGCGTATAAACGTTTCGGAACTTCGGCATTATCGAACGAGCGCGAAGTCAGAAGTTATCGGGACGATGACGAAATCGGGGAGATAACGATGCGTAGTCCACTTGTCCGAGACATTCAGAAATAGCTATCAGAAACTGGAACTCGAAGATGCCACTTTGTATGTGACGCGTGGTCTTAAGGACGTTTCTTATTAATTATTGAACCGCGGATCTTTGTGGGAAACGAAATTTCTCTGCCTCGATTGCGTGGAACAGGAGTTAAATCAAAATTCAGTTTCGTTCTTAACATTTCTAATAAGTTGAAAATAAGCTGGCAGCATGGTTTAATTATCATAAGCATTTACCGTTTTGCATGTAACTCGCTTCTGTCATAAATGGGAGTACGCATGGGAGTTTAAATCGACGAAGGGAATCGCAGCATAAGATTGATACAACAAGTGAGAATTTAAGAACAGCGTCAAGCTGTTCGCTTTCGTGCAGCGAACATATTGAGAGAGCCCAGCTGTTTTCCAAATTTATTAAAAATCTGTCCAACCCACCAACGGTTTTTATGCCTCCCCGAATGATCCTCTTAAGTAAGTCGCGATTAACTTCGACGAATTTAATGTGTACTCCCGACCCTAATTTTCGAATATTATTCGCCGGTGAATGAGGACCACCGGCCCGACGGCGGCCCGCCGACGCGGTAATCGATAATTAATCGCACGAATTGCCCGCTCGCCAAGAATAAAGACGGTACACCGGAGGTCGATCGGAGCCGGGGATTCAGCCCGCGTAAATGTCCGAAAGAGATGGAGAGGATTCTTAAAAAGAGCCCCCGTAGTCGGCGGAGCCGTGGCGGTTCCGCAAGTGGGCAGCCATCTTGAGGCCAAATGGCCGCGCCTCGTCGACGCTGTTAATGAAGAGGAAGGGTATAAAAACGATTCTTTTGCCCGGGAGAACGGCATTGAGAAGCACGGGAATTCGATATTCATGGCCGACGGCTGGCAGCGTCTGAATGCCGGGCTGGCCTAATCGATCTCTCGTCGGACGTCGACGTGGACGTCGTCTGAGGGGACCACGACGGGGGTAGAGCCAACCCCCGTGCGTCTCTCTCGCGCCGTTCGGGAACACGTGACTCACACGACCAGCCGGGGACACCCCTCGGATTTACGGGACGCTGATGGGACGCGTGAGTCTGCAAAGGTGCACCTTTCGGTTAATCGACACGTGGCTAATGGATCCAGTATTTTTCTTCCGTGCCGACGGCCATTCGCGCGCTTCCCCTCGCCCCAAAACCTCGAGCACTCGCCGACCCCCTCGCCTCCCTCCCGGGATTTCGCTCATGATTCGAGTTTCTTCGTTACGGGGGTTCGAGTTGACTTTGTTCGAGACGGAGGCTGATGACCCGTGAGATCCTCCGGGCTTTCACGGGACCGGGCCCCATTCTCGTCGAAGCTGTTAGGGTGTCAACTCGATATTTTTATTTGCGGATTCAAAGCGGCGTTCGAATACTGAGATTTCATTGAGCTGTTCTCATGCCACGGCAAAAAGTTTCATGGGGCACCGCGTGATGAATGGAGGCGACGCGACCGTACGGGGGGTGCTGACCTGGTCCCGTATGGTCGATGACGTCTCATTTGGCGCTGGGAATTCCGATTATTCGATCAGTAACAGATTTTCGTCGCGCGTTCGTGCCAAAAATTTCTGGAAGACACCGTGAGCTCCATTTAACTCCAGTTAGCTGTGTTTTCCTAGCTCGTCGCCTCTTCTCGTCACTCGTAAAAAAAGAACCAATTGGTTAGAGATTCGAAGAAGGATATATACTTTGAGATATTCTTGATTAAATTATATATTTCACAAGTATTGTTATATTTAAACAAGACACGAAAAAATCAGACATACACAGTATAATTACAGTCTTTTACTTGCACGCTTTTCGAGCTGAAAATAAACCTCACAAGTTCCCACAAAAATCTAAGTAATTTGTTCAATGAAAGTCGAACTAGAAAAATTAAAATTCATTATAGTGGATGGCATTTGAACTCTGCGATCTAAACATTCTAATAAAATTCAGTCTGCCCAAATGCTTATACTACATTAAAAATTCTGAGAACTAATAAAAAAAAATTAGTATTGTTCCGATCAAGTACCACCATCGATGCCTCGCATCGATTTATTATTCACAAACGATACTCGTTCTAATCTGATTCGTTTTGATCTCGACGTTTAAAACTCGATCGCGTCGGAGCTCGCTTCGAGGGTTAAATAGCGAAGCAATGATTTATGATTACACGTCACAAATTCTTCGCTGGACTAACGGCTGAATAAAATCGTTCACGAGGAAGCACCATCGAAGAGGATTCGAACGCTTCGAAAGGTAGCAGCAGGAGACCGCAAAATTCTTAGAGAAGGCAGTTTCGCGGTAAGACGGCCGCGACGGCCGCGTAGGCAGAAAAGAAAAGGGGGACCGGG